TCTTGCATGTTTCTCTTTGAATAGGACGCTAAATGTCTTGTACTGAGTTGTTCTTTCACATGTTTCAATGTTTTTGCCACAGCCTTCAGAACCACAATAACGTCACTATGATAATTGAAAACTCACCACCAAGTTTGATCATTAAGGAAAAAAATTAATTGAGATTTTAATTTAGATAAGATATTGCTAATTTGTTCAGGCTCTCGTTACATGACCCATCACTCGGGGAGGAAAGAAATCCTTCATTAATTTCCAAGGAGATAAACAAACCCCACAGATATTCAGAGTGCTTTCAAAAAAGGATATTTTCTTCTTTTTGAACAGTACCACGGTTGAAGAATTTATTGACTTTTTAAGCACAGAAATATAAGGTCAAAACTAATGAAAATTGGAAGCACAATTTCAAGTAACTTTATAGGCACTAGGGACTGCTGGAGACATCGAACACCAGATGACTTCATTGTAAGGGAGGCCTTCAAAATGGGGATGAATACAAAGAGAAAAAATGCTGCTTGATTTACAATCTTCAGTCGGAAAGTAAATGTAAATATACACAATTTCCCCTCCCCTGGCCATCATTGCTGCTTTCCTTCAGTGTCTCTCTTCCTTCCTCATGTTCTTCTTTCCTCTTTTTCCTTCTTCAACTCTATAAATTTTCTTCCTTCTCATTTAGAAATTTTGCAGTGTTAAAATGTAGCATCAATTGAAGTTTAACTCCTCAGACTCTCCCTTTCCTTATAAAACTTTAAGATGCCCTATGTAGTGTCTTAATTTCCTTTCCTACCATATCCCCAGATTGTAACTACACCAGAATGCTGTCACATGATTTTTAGGGGAATATAAATGTATTAAATGTAGGAAGGTCAATAATAGTTTATAGCATTTGATGAATGCTATAAATGATGAATAACAGTTTATAGCATTTCTTTAGAAAAATAATATGAAACAAAAAAATTCAGTGTAAGTGCCTATGATTGTCAGAGGAATAGCATGAATATTGGAGGTATAATGAAATTTATATTTGCATTCAGTTATAGACTAAGATAGAAGAATGGTAAATGTATAGGATGTGCTAGATTTCATTGATCTAGATGCTTGCAGTTCAAGGACAGAAACGAGATTTAAATGATCCATGTTGAATTAGAATACAGCTAGGCAAACTGTGGGAACTGTTACAAATATCATTAGCTTTTTTAAATTACCACAATAGTAAAATTTTAAGTAGTATTTAGGGATGCTTCAAAATAACATTTTCTCTTTTCATGTCTACAAAGATTGTGGGGCTGCCAAGAAGTGCTTCTAGAACTAGATTAAGTTTTGGGGAAGCAGGAGAAACACTGGAAATCAACAACAGAAGCAAACGCTGTTCATTGTAAAGGAGACATTTGGGGGCATAATACGCATATATGAAAAAAATTACAAATGTCCACAGCGAAAGAATATTTTCAATGTTTGAGGTCAGTGCACTGTGCTTCTCTAAGACTAACTGGCTTCTCTCATTGGGTCATGATGATTGATTTGCCCACTCAGCAGGGGAAGTTGGGGTGGGGGTTTTTCAGCATCACCTGGGTTCTCTTCCAGGTGATGTTCTCAGAATCTTTGCAGTGGAGTCTGGATGAGGGGGCTCCATGGCCAGGCACCCAAGTGGTCCTCACCCAAGAACTCCCTCACCATGCAGTAGAACTCAAGGTGGGGCCAGCTCTGGCTTCCCCTCCCCCAAGACTGGTGTCCCCCCAGGAACTTGCTCCTGCCCCCCATAGCTGTGTCACAAAGTGCACCTCCCTCGCTTCCACTGGCCTCCTGGGAGACCCCACACCCCACCTGCCTAGACCAGCCACCCCAACGTCTTGGTTCTTTTGTTTGTTTCATGTGCTATATAAAGTTTGATATTTTGCCTATTGATGTGAGGCAGCTAACTATATTAATAAAAAACTATCATGTAACAAAGAAGAAAGCAAAGTTCAAATGTAGAAATCCTTTTACATTTGACTTTAACTTCAGAGAATTATCACCCCCTAATTTTCTTCGCTATGCCACAATAAAAAGAAAAGAGTAGATGCTATATCAAAGAGAAATAAACTGCATCCAATTAATTAGAAATAGTGGGAAATATCTCTTACATTTACAAATCCTTTGACTTCTGCACAAGATGCTTGTTTATTCATAGAGGGAAAAGATTTACAGGTTTAGTAGAGAAACGCTCTCATGTGATTGAAAAGCAGGAGATGTAGCCTATTGTTTTTCCTTCTGTGGGCTGACTTATCTGTGGGAAGCGCTTGAATAACACAGGTTTGATCTGCTTGGATTCGCTTAAAGATTTCCCTGTACACCAACAACAATGGTATGTTATGAATCAGAACAGTTCAATGCTGTAAGTGCCTTTTCACTTCCTTATGATTTTCTTAATGACATTTTCTTTTGCCTAATTGACTGTGTTCTAAGAATACAGTATATAATACACACGACAAACAGAAGATGGGCTAATTGGCTAATTACGTTTTCCCTAAGGCTGCAGGTCAACAGGTGATTAGTATTTCAGATTTGGGGGGAAACAAATATATAATATATATGATTTTCAACTGTGTGGGGTTGGTGTTCAAACTCCTGCATTGGTTAAGAAAGGACAACTGTAATGTGATAAAGGTATGGACTATTTTTTAAAACTTTTTATCACTTCTGTAGTTTGAAAATAGAAGTACCCTTCTCTCTCATAAGCAATAGGAGTTTGTGTCTGCTAAGATAAATTCCTTTATACTCTTTTCGACAGTGTGATTAAATACTATGTTCATGGGGTTAGGTTTAAAAATCCAACTACTGATTCTCCTATATCAACGGGATCAATTTATCACACTGATGCCTATTACCGCTTCAAATCACCAACGCTGCAGAGCTCTCTTTCATCTTTCTAAACTCCAATCATAAATAATTTTTTACCTCTCCCTGATCATTGTGAAGTTTCAAAGTTGTTTGCATGTATCCTTAATATTTTTTTTTGCCCTAAAGTGAATTTCTTCTAATTTCCTACATAATTTTTATAAATCACTACACTGTTCTCTTAGCATCTTGCTTAGCTCTAATTCCATATCATTCAAGGAAGAATAGAATAGAAAACTGATGCATGAGCTTTAGATTAAATCTGAAAACAAATCCTGCCCCATTGAGCTGGTGAGCCATCGGACACTTTTTTTTTTTATTTTATATATTTTTACATCATTTGTCATTTTTGCACAATGTATGCATTTTCATCTTGGTTATAGTCCCCATACAATTCCCACACCCCCTTGTTTTCATCCTACTCCCTCCCCCGCCCATATGTATGTCTCTGGTTTATAGTTGCTTGTTGATTTTGATGATGTGGTATATATACACAATGGAATATTACTCAGCAATCAAAAAAGATAAACTCATGCAATTTGCAGCAACATGGATGGAGCTGGAAGGGATCATGCTCAGTGAAATAAGCCAGAAAGAAAAAGAAAAATACCGGATAGTCTCATTCATAGCAGGAATCTAGAAAACCTAAATAAGGGACCAGGAAAAAGACTAATTACAATAAAGTAAAAACTGTTGGTCACTTTATATCATGTACTCTAGAAATCTTTTCTTTAATCCTAGTAAATCAGAAGAAGATCTATTACAATGAGTTGCTATGCATTTTCTTTAAGCAAGCAAGCACTTGTCACCATATTTGATGATGAAGAAATATTGATATTGATCACAATAGACGTAACTTTTGTCCTGCTCTTGGGAGGAGAGTTTGAGACTTGAAAGGTCACACTGGGACAGACTGCACAGCTGTTCCTCAGCAGGGCAGCTGCTCTGCTCCCTCAGCTGAACTACATAGAAACCCCGATCGCATCACCATGTTTCCTGAGGGCCACTGTTGAGGGGCATCTAGCCTGCTGTCTCACACTCACCAGCGTCGTCACAGCTCCGTGTCCACCCCGAGCAGCACCGCCTCGCTCCTGCCCCTGGCACACACCCCTCTGGACCTGACTGCATTGATCTGTAACATTATAAATTAATTATTAATGATAAAGAGTAACAAAGAAGAAATCATCAAATTAAATAACATATCCCTTATAATTACAGGATAAACGGTGGAGGTGATGACAGAAAAAAAGATGATAATTCTGATGAAAATGACCAAGTTGATTATGGGAAAAAGAAACAGAAAGGAGAGAAACAGCGCACAGAAGAGAGGGGAGTGGAGGGGAGCGTGAGGGACAGAAGAGCAGGGAGAGAGGAAGGGGGCGGAGGGAGGAGTGGCAGCTCTGCCAATGTAACCCACAAGTTTTTTTCAGTCTAGGAAAACTGTAGTTTACTGAGGTGTGGAAGGCATAAATAGAATTTTTCTATTAGCTCTACCTAAGAGGCTTCATAAGATCTGATTGTCTATATTTTACATGCTTTCCTCCCAAGAATAATTTCGTATTTCACGATGGTTCTAGTTTATCTCATGTTCAATCTGCATCTGAACCTGGAATGCTCTTAGATTTTATTTTATTGAGCTGACACTGATTTTCAGCCCCGTGGGATTCAGAGGACTTGGGCCCCGCCTCTCAGATATATGTCACCTGCTAATCATTTGAGATCAGTGTGTTATTGAGCCCATTGCAGCATGGAGACTGGGGTTCTGATTTTAAATAAAGTAAAATGTATCTCCTATATAAACCGTTAACTACCTAATTAAGACATTTCATGTCAGTGCGCGCTTCCCATGCTCATTACAAATACCGAATGGCTGGTCGTCTGGATTTGTTATTACACATTAGGGTCCTACTTCAAAATCCTCCTGGAAAGACTAAGGAAGCTGCTGCACAGCTAGAGTTAGAGGAGACTGAATTGGACCCCAGTGGTCCTTGTCCAGCGCAGACTCTGCGAGGAAGCACCAGAAAAAGAGGAGTGGCCCCTGTATCTGCACATGTTGCTCCAGGGGACCCTGCTGGAGGGTGTTTTGAGGCTTTTATGCACATTGGCAAGGTTGTTGGCAGATGTTAAGCTGCTTGAAGAGCCTCAAGTGCACTGCATCGGGCATGAGCACCCAGCACAGGGGACAGCGTCTTTGGAAGACCTGATGCCAGAAGCTTTGGGAGCACTTAAGCTATTGGGGAAATGCATCCATGATGTTGTCACACTTGCAGGTGATGCATAAAACCCATAGTAATTGTGTGGCTTATGTTTCAAAAAATGAATCTACTAGAACCTAAAGGAATCTCTTGTACATATTTCTATTGAGGAATTAGTGAACACTTCATATAAAATTTAAAAGTTATTTTTTTTTTATTTTTTTACGTCATTGCTCATTTTTAAACATTATTTGCTTCCCCTCACCCCCTAAGGTGGAGTCCCCATAGAGTTTCCTTCACCAATGCACCCGTGCACCATCACAAGATATACCTCGCTAACATCTTTAAAGACTCATCGCCCAAAGCAAAGATAGTCAAGGAAAAGACAAACACCTGGGATTACATCTAACTGAAAAGCTTCTGCACAGCAAAAGAGACATTAACCAAAACAAAGAGACACCCCACTGACTGGGAAAAAATCTTTGCACTCCATACAACTGATAAGGGACTGATCACAAAGATATACTAAGAACTCACACGACTCAACAAAAACAAAATAAACAATCCAGTGAGGAAATGGGCAGAAGAACTTAAAAGACATTTTTCCAAAGAGGAAATGCAAATGGCCACCAGGCAGTCCACATTATCTTAATGAAGCAACATGTCCTTCCATTGGATTTTAGATCAGTGATTTTAATAGAATGTGCAAATGTGCTAGAGTCTGATGATTTCTTTCACGATTTCAAAGATCAAAAATGAACAATCTTTGCACTGATGGAAGCACATATGACAGCACGAATCACTACACTCGAGGTCATTGCTACTGCAGGTCCAGACAGAAGACTCTGCTGATTTTTGGATATGTCACATTTGTGGAGCAAAGTGAAATATGACATGGTCTTTGCACCCCCAGAGCCCTCAGTGGTGCCTGCATCTCAATCTTCTGGCTACCAGGCTTTCTAAGCCACCCACTCAGTGGCCTTCCTGGTGCCAGCCATGGGCAGCTCATTTCGTTATCAAAGAGGCTGACCTCTATATTAATTGAAAAAAATTTGTTGAATGAAGCGTTAGCTGTGAGTGTGTTTAATCATAGAAAGTATATGAAAAGTTAGCTGTGGTCCCACAATATCATACATCTTCTCAGAATGCAGATCACATATAAGTATATCTGATGCACACACACATATTGATACATGTATTTAGTTCAAATCTCTAAATGTTTAAGACGTTATGTTAAAGGGATTATTATTTTTTTCTGGCTATTTCTGAAATTTAATGAGCAGAAATCCTTTATATGGAGGGCGATATTATCATATTAGTAGAATCTATGCTAACACGCAGGCTTCTGACTTGTTCCCTTAACCTGCTTGTCTGGTCACCTGCGCCTTACATTGTCTCTGAACAGAGAGGTCGTCCTTGGCCAAATATTTATGCATAAACTATTTATGGACTTTTTAGTCTTTCCTCCCATCATTAATCCATGAGAAGCAAATAAGCGATCATCTTTTCAACTGAAATGCTAAGAAATGCAAATATGACCACAGCTGCGATCTCCACGGTGGATCACGGTCCTGCGTGCCGGGTGACTCGTCTCCTGCTGCCCGGCTCCTGCTCCCCGGCTCTTCTGGATCCCGAGTCTGCTGCGCCGGGGCCCAGGTCTGAATCCACTCTGTGGGGGCATCTCCCAGCGGGTCTGTGTCTCTTCTCACAGCTGGGCGCCCCGCCACTTGCAGAGAAGTCAGGGAGCACGCCCGGCTCCAGATTTGTCATCAGACCCTCCTGCTCCGTCAGCACCGCCAAGAAAAGACCAGCGTTAGACACTGATGGTCAGGGTGACCCTCTGGCTGCCACAGGCGTTTTCTGTCCAAATTCAAGAGACTGAGGCCCTTCAAGGGCTCTCAGCTTCATCCCATCAGACACAACCACATGAGGCCCCCTGCCCTTTGCCGCTCTTCTAGCACCTCCTTTAACTCTTGATCCAGCAAGGTCAGGGCTGCAGGATGCCCGCTCTGCTTCTGTGACCCATCTCCATCTAAGGATCTCAGTGTCCTTGTCACTAAGCGCCTCTTCCGTGTGTCTGGTGGGAATTTTCCACAGTGTTTGCTTCTGCGCAGTTCTCCACTCTTGCCCATCCTCAACCCTGCCTTTTCTAGCAAGTGGCCACATGTATGTTTCTTTTCCTTTTGCGGATTTGTGCGTATGATTATCTGTGTCCTTGAGTCGAGTGTGTTCCGCCCTGTCTAGAAATCACTCTCCTTTCCAAATCACGTCAGTTGAATGTTTATCTCCCACTCTGGGCCTTCCTTGTCTTCTTCTGACTAATGTGCACAGCATCATCCCCTCCAGCTCCATCCATGTTGTTGCAAATGGCCAGATTTCATCTTTTTCATCGCAGAGTAGTTTTCCCGTGTGTGTGCACACCGCATCTTCCTGGCCACTGCCTTCCGGTCATCTGTCCTTGGGAACTGAGGGTGTTTTCACATCTTGCCTATTGTAAATAGTGCCGTAGTGGACACAGACGTGCATCTGTCCCTTTGAATTGGTGTTTTTCTTCCTGCAGGTAGATAGCTAGGAGTGGAGTTGCTGTTTTGAGAAACCTCCATACTGTTTCCATAGGGCCTGTCCAGTCTGCATTTTTAATAATATACACCTGAAACATATGTAATGTTATAAGTCCTTGTTATTTCAACAAAATAAAAAACATAAGGTATTAAAATTGAAAAATAAAAAGATGAAGTGATAGTGCCAGGGGAAAAGAGAGTTGTGTGAAAATATATAGTTAGAAATATGCATTGTGAGTTACTGAAAATATGGTGTCATAAATAATATGATGTGTATATACATAGAAGTACAGTGCATCCAACAAGGTAGCTATTTAGCATTTAAAAAGCCCGATCAGCAGCTGATTTGATGACGTGTGAGAGTGTAACTCTGCTCAGATTTCCTGGAACTGACACTCCGTGGAGAGCTTACAGGCCCGTGTTTTCACATCTCTTCATGCATTGACAGATCCTTTTGGCAAACACTTGTTTGCACTTAGATGTTAAGGGAGATTCAGCCATCAATTTTATATTTGTTTAGCTTGCTTGCTTTCAGAGTTTATCTTCAATTAAAAGAAAACAAAAGTTAAGACATAAGACCTGAAACCATAAAATATATAGAAGGAAATATAGGCAAAACACTACGTGATTTGCACATCAAAGACATCTTTACAGACATATCACCCAAAGCAGTGATAGTGAAGGCAAAGATAAACAGCTGGGACTACATCAAATTAAAGAGCTTTTGCACAGCAAAAGAGACAATAACAAAAACAAAGAGAAACCCCACCAACTGGGAGAACATTTTTACACCCAACACTAATGATAAAGGACTGATCACAAAAATCTGCAAAGAGCTGATGAGACTCAACAACAACAAAGAAAATAATCCAGTCAAAAAATGGGCAGAAGAGCTAAAAAGAAACTTCTCTGAAGAGGAAATGCAAATGGCCAACAGGCATATGAAAAATGTTCAACATCACTTGTCATCAGGGAAATGCAAATCAAAATACCATGAGATACCATCTTACACCAGTGAGAATGGCACATATTAAAAAACTAGCAACAACAAATGTTGGCGAGGGTGTGGAGAAAAGGAACCCTTCTGCACTGTTGGTGGGAGTGCAAACTGGTCCAACCACTGTGGAGAGCTGTGTGGAGATTTCTGGACCTACTAAACATAGAGCTTCCATATGATCCAGCAATTCCACTCCTAGGTATTTACCCAAGGACACAGAAACATCAATTCCAAAGAACACCTGCACCCCTATGTTTATAGCAGCACTGTTACAATAGCTAAGCTTTGGAAACAACCCAAATGCCCAAAATAGATGACTGGATCAAGAAGTTGTGGTACACATATACCATGGAATATTACTCAGCATTCAAAAAAGATA